CATTGCAGCGGCCCAAGGACAACCACGCAGAGGGAAGAGTACCGAGGCAAGAGCTGAACCGAGTCACACAGTTCCCCGCCGATCAACACGAGGGCATCGGCCTCCCACATATCTGAAGGACTATGTAACCACTATTCATCAAGGACGATAGCAAGAACTTTGAGGGGAGGGGTGTTGTGTTCTTTTGTATTCCCCCCCCCTTAATCCCCTATGCGCATACCCATTAAGGGTGATTGCCCTTCTCCATTGATCACCCATTAAGGGTGATTGCCCTTCTCCATCTGCATACAGTTTCATGCCCGTTGCTGGTTGGCTAACTAGCAACGGGGTCTTACCAGCCAATGGAATTGTGTGATTACAAGCCACGGGAATCCCATAAAAGAGGGCTCCCCTGGCCCAGATGCCAGTCCGGATTTACTTTATGCCTTGCCAATAAACCGAGAGCTGACTGTCACTCGACTCGTGTCTTACTGCCTGCGCGATCTAACAGTTTCTTTCCAAGGTTGTAGTGCCATGTGATGGGTTTGGATGAATGGCTTATGTTTAGGTTGATTTGACTTATATTTTGTTATATTTAGTAGGTTTTTAATCCTAATACTGTATGAAGAGGTGTAATCAGAATTGTTTTGGCATGAGTAGCTTGGAATAAGTAAATAATAAATGGGTTCTGAAGGGGGACGATGGGATGGCTGATAAATGGCCCTTGATGGTTATTGAGGCTACTACAGGTGCATCCTTTATGTTTGAAAAAAAAACCACAGTAATTGTAATAAGCCTGGTAAAGGTAGGCCTTTAGCAGGCTTAGTACAGAAAAGACCAGAATCCACAATGTTCCCCTCACTGAAACAGAGAAGTCTGTCATGGTTCCGATAGATGAAACCAGTAAAAGAACTTCAAGGCAAGAATTCTTCCTTAAAGAACATTTTATTTAGGAAACAAAGTATCGGCACTTACATAGTTGAACCCAAGAATGAGATTCCCTCCTCCCAGATACAAAGTAACAAATTGCAATTCCCACCCCACAAGAGCTATCATAAATCACATTCCCCTATTAGCACAAAACCGGCTTTCCTCTCCGGCCCCTCAGCCCGCCAAAATCTTATCAGAACACGTCCTTGAGTTTCCACACTTCTACATTGTTATGGCTAGCTAAATCCTCAGGCATTTACCCCATCCCCCCTTCTACACCTGAACTCTAAAAGAATAGAAAGGCACATTAAAAGCAAAAGTAAAAATGGCTGCTGGTTCTCAGTTGTCAGAGCAACAACATCCATTGTCACAGCGTTGACAAAGTCAACAATATGGGAGCTTACGATCCATAGCAGAAGCACTTCCTGGCTTCAATAAACAAGAGCAGAAATGGGGCCACAATAGAAAAAAAACAGCTCCATCCATTATTGCTGCTCTGACCTTTATTAATAGTCAGAAGAGAACTGAGAGAGTTGGAAAGGGCTTCATCTTCTGATATAGCATAGACCCAATGAAAGACTAGAGCTCCGAAACATTCTGAGAAATAACTGTGCTGATGTAGAATACATGTGTGTAAATCACAAAATTATAAAGAATGAAAGCTCCTCATTATAGAGCCCTCTACACTCCCTATATGCTGGTATATTAAGCCAATTATGTATGCATACCAAACTCAAGTGTCATCAATCATTAGAATAATGTATCTCAACACCATTTGTGCTCAACAGCCGTCTATAGAACTATCACAGCATCATTTTCATGTGTGCTTATAACATCTTAGTTACCAAGGGTAACTAAGACATAGAACCACTTGCAATTGTAAGATATAGCTCAATATAGAAATATTGACAACAAAATAGTGCAAACAAATAATACTGATGAAATTATGGTTTCAGTGGATTACTACTATTGACTTTACGGCTTAAATTAAATACTTTGAATTTGAATTTGAATCACTACAATTTCTGTGTAGAAGAACAATTTTTGAACTTGTACCTCCGTACAATAATTTTGGAACATTATATATTTTTCCTATTTATTTTTCTTGATTTCTTCAATGATCTACGGAGGTGTCAGATGTTTTATTCTACACACAGCTCTCAAAATTATCAGAACATTGGAATTAAAGATTTTTAAAATAACACATTACTCACTTTGGCAAAGAATTTGATTTCTTGATCATGTGGAGATTTCTCAGTTTTTCCACTAGTAACAATGGCTTCTGTGAAGAAACAATGTAAAGACAAATAATGTTGGGCAGGGCTGTTTTATCACACTATTCAAGCTTGTGGAATTCCAGAAGCAGCAACAATTTATTCTGCAGGAAGGTTAAACATATTGTTCTATTTATCTGTCCTTGCCATCTAGTATAGTCAATACTAAAACTACTTGCAACTTATAAATTTGAATCAATATAAGAAAGTTCCATTCATATTGTCCAGTTCTGAAAGAGTTTTCTGAAAAAAAATGCCATTGTAGAAAACATGACTGTATCTTTTCAACATACCTTTCTTCTGCATTCTGTTAAATTTATTTTCAGCTTAAGTGAGAAAAGGGAGAAGAAATAGTTGAAAATTGTAGAGCTGCTTTGGATTTTTCAAAAGTTGAAAACAAGTACAAATCAAGCTAAGAAAATAATATGTGGAGTAAGTTTTTTTTAACTGCTGCTTTCACCCATTAAAACTTTCTTTTATCTATAGATAAAAATATTTAAGACATCCAGGTTGTGTTGAATCCAATGTTTTGGATAAAGACCACAGAGACCTAATTCAAACTCATCCTAGGCCACTGGTGATGAACCTATGGCACGGGTGCCAGAGGCGGCACTCGGAGCCCTCTCTGTGGGCACACATGCTGTTGCCCCAGCCTTGCCTCCCCCCGTGACCCCCTCCTCTCCAGCAGCCCCCCTGAAGAAGAGTCACCCTCAAGTGTGGCCCACACGGAGTAGCGCAGCCAAGGACATGGCAGCCAGGCAGTGTAGACAAGACTTTGCCCTCATGCCCCAACATGCACAGTTGATTCTGTGGGGCATGGGCAGAGGGCGTGGCCGCCATAGTTCTGCTGGGCTACCTGGGCAATCTGCGGCGGGCCCTGGAGGCGGTGAGTGGTCCTGTGGGCAGGCAGGGTGGGGGATGGGGGCAGAGCAGGGGTGGGGCAGGGGGGTAGAGCAGGGGTGTGGCAGTGGGGTAGAGTGGGGGCGGGGCCAGTTTTTGGGCACTCGGTCTCTAAAAGGTTCACCCTATGGAGGCTCACTAGATGGCTTTGGGCAGGTCAATATCCCTCAGCTCAAGTTTCTCTACAGGGATTTATTGTGGGAGGAAAAAGGAAGAAAGAAGACATTGTCTTGAGTTCCCGGAGGAAAATATAACAAACAAACAAACAAACACTCTCAATTACTGAAACATTAACAAAACTTACCTAAATGTGCAATGAATTCTTGAGCTGAGTCAATATATTTAAGGATCCTTTTGAGAAATTTATAAGCAAACCTCTTTTCCATTGATGAAGCATCCAATTCCAGGTCGTTTAAGCCTCTAGTGAAACAAAAGTTTAACATATAGTTTAAAAAAAATCTAGCAAGCAACACCAAAAAATTGAAACACTATGCTTATTGCAACTTAAGCTTTTATCACTTTAAACTAGTTTATTAAAAGTAATGTTAAAAAATTCAGATGATCGAACATTGCATTGATTTAGCATTTACCTCCTTAAATCAGATGTTACAAGATTGTTTGGAACGTGTATTTACTTGCCAATCGGGATAAGATTGGTATTAATATCTATTTATTTTCTTATAATTTGGTTCTAATTCTTAAAGACAGCAAAATAACTGTAATGAAACTATTGTTTTTGTAGCCAGTGTGTGAATACATGTACTTTATAATTATAAATTAAGGTTTTCAATACTGTCATTAACAGGCTGAGGGTAATGTGAAAATAATATTCCAATTTGTATTTTTTTTATTTCTATTCTCTTTATATCATTGTCAAAATAACATCAATTCTGCCCATATCTTGCATGGTTACACAGACCATGCATTTGCTCTAAAGAGTTGTAGAGAGTGCTATGCTTATATTCCCCTGAATTCTGAATCATTTTTTTGAAATTATTTCTGAAATACTGCACTGAACCAGTGACTTTACCCTGCAGTTCCATCAGATGCTAGAAGTAATGAAGACTATTTCCTAATTTCACCAACCATACTGATTGTCCTTGGTGCCCTCCAACCTAGTCAAACAATGACTGTTTTTGACGCCCCTTCCATCTGTCATTTAAGCACTCTTCAGTCCTGGGATTGTGTCCCCTTCTAAGACAAAGGAAATACCCATATGAATTGAAAAACAGGCATGAACTGTGTTCAGCTGTGGAGTTGGAAAGAGGGGAGGACGAGTTTTTCAAAACCTTTGAAAATGACCTCCACTGAATTGGTGCCTAATATCAAAAGATGTTTCCCTCCAAAAAGCAAAAAGCAATTAAGAATATTTTGATCTCTGACTGACATAGCAAATGGGACATCTTTCGATGGAAAAACTGGATTTTTATGCCAAAATAGGTCACCACAATGTAAAAAAGATGCTGAGACTCTAGAAAGAGTACAGAAAAGAGCAACAAAGATGATTAGGGGACTGGAGGCTAAAACATATAAGGAACGATTGCTGGAATTGGATATGTCTAGTTTAATGAAGAGAAGGACGAGGGGTGACATGATAGCAGTGTTCCAATATCTCAGGGGCTACCACAAAGAAGAGGGAGTCAGGCTATTCTCCAAAGCACCTGAAGGCAGGACAAGAAGCAACAGATGGAAACTAATCAAGGAGAGAAGCAACCTAGAACTAAGGAGAAACTTCCTGGCAGTTAGAACAATTAACCAATGGAACAACCTGCCTCCAGAAGTTGTGAATGCTCCAACACTGGAAGTTTTTAAGAAGAGACTGGACAGCCATTTGTCCGAAATGGTATAGGGTTTCCTGCCTGAGCAGGGGGTTGGACTAGATGA